CCCAACCTTTTGTACCCGGAGCCTCGACAGCCAGTAGTGACGTAACATTCTCGATCACTTGCCCCAAAGCTGGTCCGCTCGTGTATCCGCCTCATGTTTCTGCACCAAGTCCTCCAATAGAACAGTAAAGCATTTCAGCACACAATGACTCACATTTTGACCTGGTTCAGTTTTTTTTTCCACAATAAGGAATCCAACATAATCGTCCAAGACAAATATAACATGGGTTACCTAGCCACAAGTCGTAACAACAAGATCCTTGCATTTTCTATCCATATACAATACAATAGCAATAATTCTTGTGACTTAGGATGCTCTTACACTTAGGAACTATGAAAAGAACGCCCAACTAATCCATACAAACTTTTCCTATACTTTCTAGTATGTACGATCACAACGAGAGGGTCAAAACATATCTGAAAAATAAGTTCCAGCACTTTATATCATGAAAGACTACGTCACAAGTGATTAAAACATATCACAACAATTCTCCACCACATAACAACATGAAAAGCCACTACCAGAGTATCCCAACATCACATAACAATTAATTTCCAACACCTAATATATAGAGAAAAAAAAACATCATTTATTCTCAAAACAACTTTCAACACGAACGTAATCCAACAATAGCTTTTACAAGCCCTCAACCATGGCTAAAAATTTTTACATACATGAGATGCACAAAAATAAAATAGTTCGATAAGAACCCATGTCAAATACACCTACTAACGCACACACCCGCCCCTTGGTGCTACATACACGCACTGCTACACTATCAAACCTTGCGTCGATTCAACACCTATGCATCAAGAGAAAAAAAACAACAAGTTAAAACAAGATTCCAACTATAGAACTCGGTTTGAAGAGGTTTTTGAAAGGTCCTTTACCACAATTGACTTCGTTTGAGAGTGGGTAATTTAGAGCTAACTCAAGCAAGCGTGAGGAACGTATATCAACTTTGTACGGATATGGGTAGGTGCCAAACACGACCAAAAATGATGTTGTTTGCATTTAGTAGTAGTGGAAATGCCCCAAATCCGCCACTGATGTTGTTGGACACCGTAGAAGGAGTACGGGTCCAAGTCTAGGTGGTACAAGTCATGGGTCACCTCTATTCAGCCGAAACGTCGCCCAACCACCACCAGAGCCCCCGACGCACGCTGAACGTCTGGGCGTATACTTGTCGCCGCGCCGCCTGCTGCTGCTTGACTTGGATGGTGGTGCGTCGTGGTAAGAGCGGTCGCCGGTGAAGAGCGTGTCGTGCTGCTCGTTCACGAACAAGAAGGCGACACTCGGAGGGGAGGGGGCTGGCGGCTCCAAATTGTGAGGAAGAAGAAGGGAAGGTCTAGGGCTTCTTTCTTTTCTCTTATGTTTTAAAAATTAAAACCAATTACCCAAAAATTTATGTTTTAAAAAAAATAAAATAAGTAAAAATAACCCATGGGTTCAAAGAATTATTGGGTTAGGAAAATTATAGCGTTAAAATTTCCAACAACCATAATTATAAATGTTTCCAACAAAAAAATATAATAATAATAAAAAAAATAAATAAAACAACCAAGTCCCACGGCCTAGAACAAAAGCTGAAAACAACACGTCATTAATTATAATTATAAACTGACAACCCACGACAGCCTTAGAACAAAACAAGGTAGAACAATTAAAATAAATCAAAATAATTTTCGATTAAACCTTGAGACTTGAGATGAAACTAACCTGAGTAACGCGAGSCGTTACAGACTTGCCCCCTTTGAAGACTTTGGTCCTCGAAAGTTCCTTGAGCCAGCAACTCAGGTTATTTGGTTCGGATCTCATCTTCTCTTTCCCAAGTAGCCTCCTCCACTTGGTGATTTCTCCATAGAACCTTCACCAAGTCAATAGCCCGATTTCTCAACATCTTGGTTTCCTTTGCTAAGATCTCGACAGGTACCTCCTCATAGTACAAGGTTCCATCTAACGGTAACGGTTCGGGATCCAATACGTGAAGAGGGTCATAGACGTACTTCCTCAGAATGGACACATGGAACACGTTATGCACCGCAGCCAAAGATGGAGGCAAGGCCAACTTGTAGGCAACTGGGCCAACGTGCTCCAAGATCTCAAAAGGGCCAATATACCTCGGACTGAGCTTCCCCTTCTTATCGAAGAGTAGGATTCCTTTCGCCGGTGCCACACGGAGAAAAACGTGGTCGCCGACATTGAACTCTAACTCGTTTCGTCTATTATCGGCATAGCTTTTCTGTCTGCTTTGAGCCGTCTGCATCCTTGCCCTAATCCTTTGGATGGCACCATTCGTCTTCTGCACCAACTCTGGTCCCAACAGGACCCTCTCGCCAACTTGTCCCAATGAACTGGAGATCTACACTTTTTCCCATACAAAGCTTCGTATTGAACCATCCCAATTATGGCCTGATAGCTGTTGTTATAAGCAAACTCTATTAATGGCAGGTGTCTGTCCCAAGAACCACAGAAGTCCATTATGCACACTCTCAACATGTCTTCCAAAATCCGATTCAACCGCTCTGTCTAACCATCGGTCTGAGGATGAAATGTCGTACTAAAATCAAGCTGAGTCCCGAGTGTCTTATCCAAACTTCACCAAAAAGTTGATGTGAAACAAGGGTCCCGATCTGACACTATGGACACCGGTATACCATGAAGTCTAACTATCTCCTGCAAATAAAGCTCTGCCCACCTTTCTACCGAATAGGTGGCCTTGCCTGGTATGAAATGGGCAGACTTTGTCAAACGATCCACAACCACCCAAATCACTATGTATCCCTTGATCGTTCTCGGTAAAACTATAATGAAGTCCATGGCCACGTCGTCCCACTTCCAGACAGGTATACTCAAAGGTTGTAACAACCCTGCAGGCCTCTGTCTTGAGGCCTTCACCTGTTGACATGTCAAGCACTGACTAACAAACTGGGCAATTTCTCGCTTCATGTTGTGCCACCAATAATGTTTCTTAAGATATCTGTACATCTTGGTACTCCCAGTCGAGTCATGGTCCTCTGTTAAATTCCTATCATACCATTCGAATTCTCATACCTCATGTTTCTGCATCAAGTCCTCCAACAGAACAGTAAAGCATTTCAGCACACAATGACTCACATTTTGACCTTGTTCGGTTTTTTTTTTCACAATAAGTAATCAACATAATCGTCCAAGACAAAGATAACATGGGTTACGTAGCCACAAGTCGTAACAACAAGAACCTGGCATTTTCTATCCATATACAAGACAATGGCAATAATTCTTGTGACTTAGGATGCTCTTACATTTAGGAACTATGAAAAGAACGCCCAACTAATCCATACAAACTTTTCCTATACTTTCTAGTATGTACGATCACAATGAGAGGGTCAAAACATACCTGAAAAATAAGTTTCAGCACTTTATATCGTGAAAAACTACGTCACAAGTGATTCAAACATATCACAACAATTCTCCAGCACATAACAACATGAAAAGCCACTACCAGAGTATCCCAACATCACATAACAATTAATTTCTAGCACCTAATATCAAGAAAAAAAACATCATTTATTCTCAAAACAACTTTCAACACGAACGTAATCCAACAACAGCTTCTACAAGCCATAAACCGTAGCTAAAAATTTTTACATACATGAGATGCACAAAAATAAAATAGTTCAATGAGAACCCATGTCAAATACACCTACAAACACACACACCCGCCCTTTGGTGCTACTTACACACACTGCTATACTATCAAACCTTGCGTCGATTCAACACCTATGCATCAAGAGAAAAAAAATAGCAAGTTAAAACAAGATTCCAGCCATAGAACTCGGTTTGAAGAGGTTTTTGAAAGGTCCTTTACCACAATTGACTTCGTTTGAGAGTGGGTAATTTAGAGCTAACTCAAGCAAGCGTGA